GTTTTATAATTACACAACTGTTGTGAAAATAACTCATTATTTTAAAAAGTCTTTAGGGGGCCACATCGTGAGTAGGCATCTGGATTCAGATCTGAATCCCCTCCTGGCCGTGGGCAACTGTACCCTCAACTTGCTGTCAAAAGGTGAGTGACAGTTCCTTCTTAGGGATTATTAAACCTGCTCCTCCTAGCCCTTTTTCTCTCTGGGGAGGCAGGAGGCCCAGTTTTGAAAATGACTATTCTTTATAATATTGATGATTCTCTCTGCCTCTCTGGATGCTGGAACATTGGTCAGCCTGGTCCTAATTATACACACTCCCAATGTCTTCATCCTCTTCTTTTTGAGGCCTGGTGCTAGAAGCTTTCCCATCCTGGTCACCCTACATTGACCTTGCTTGTGATGTTCGTGTCCCAATGTGATCTGAGTAGTGGAGAGAACTAGAGGCTACTGAGAACCACTGGGCCCTTTGTTGAAGACTCTCTCCAGGGAGTACTGGAGTGTTGTGGCACCCACATCATGCTGTGTACTCATCCTCAATTGGTCATTGATGGAAGCCTACAGACTTTCTCTGTTGAACAATGGTTGGGCTTCATTCTATATTTATTTACTTGAGTTTTGTTTTTGAAGCTAAATCCAGAATATAATTTATCACTCTTATTACAACTTAGTTAACAGTTATTAGGAAGTCTTAATTGGTCCTCTCTACATCTCTTTTTATTTTCATTTAAAAACATGGACTAGCTTTCTATTACCTGCATTGTTAAATCCCTCCTCTTCATATCATCTAAACCACAAAATTCTCTTAAAGAGGAAGATTTGCATTCAGACTTATAAATTTAAGTAACATCCCTTTTAAAAAAATCATATAATGAGAAATAGGTCTTGTGATGTGAATATAAACATCAAAAGCTTCTCAGCTTGCGTCCCAAAGTCATATTTTGTTACAGCTTTAAATGGTTCCCCTCAATATATTGATTAAAGAACAGAAATTATTTAGGTGATGGAAAGATTGTAAACAAATAAGACAGCTCCTCACTAGTATAAAAATTCATTAAAGGCAATTTACTTATCCACTACTGTACCTAGTAGGGTTCCTGGTTATAAACAATGAATGTTTGTTGAATGACTTAATCAGAATATTAAAAGGAATGTATATTAAAAGGAATGTTAATATCTACTCCCTAATTGTAAAGCTCAAAATGAATTGTGCTGTTCAGGAAGAGGACTGCTCAGGTCCTATTCTACTGACCTCCGGGCTACTCTGCTAGGTATTTTTATTTAAAAGCAAGCAAAGACGGGAAAAAAAAAAAAAGGTAGGACCTCGACTGGAGGAGACACTGTAAGGTGCCATCACAGGTGAGTGATCAGTGAGCATAGGAAGAGTGGGCCCTTTCCCAAACAGTGAGGTTCCTCAGGTATTTGGTAGATCTACTTCCAAAGTTTTGGAAGTTTGATTGTTTAATAGAACAGATTCCAGGAGAGGTGTCATTTCTTGCCACAGAAGGAGAACGGCAGATTCCTTTAAATGAGCAGTTTCTCAGAAAATGCCCCAGTGCGGATCTTAAGCCTGAAGAAATCTTGGTCTCAGTGAACATCCCCTACTCGAGGAAGGTGAGAGTGTCCTTTCAATTTCTTGGTTTTACCTGTGAGCCTGAGGCTGTTAATTCCAACACATGGGGTTCAGAGAAGGCGTTGAGTGTTTACAGGTGAGATTCCGAGGACTTGTGAGTAGTCACTTTTCACTTGTGTTATGCATCATTCCCGGAATCAGGAGACCTTTGTCTCTGCCGTCTCCTCTCTCTCCTTCTCTATCCCTCTCTCTCTCTCTGTCTCCCCTCCCCAAACCCAAACTCAAAAGTTACTTTCTTACAGATTTTTAAAAATTCTTTGTCCCGTGAAGCTTGTTCCTAAATAAGATTAGAAAGTATACTTCTACCTATATCTTGGGGTTTGAAAGAAGCTAAGAAAATACGTTTACAATAGAACTTAGTGGAAAGAAGAAGGGCTTGGAGTCAGACTGAAAATTAAATGTTGGTGTCCAGATCCACTGTGACCCTGAACTAATTACTGAATCCCTCCGAGCAGTAGAGTCCTCGTCTGGGACATGGGGATAATCCAGCCTGCCTCAGGGGGGTATTAGTCTGCTAGGGCTGCCATAATAAAGAACCAGAGACTGGGGGCTTAAACAGCAGACATTTATTTTCTCACGATTCTAGAGGCTAGAAGTCTGATATCAAGGTGTTGGCAGGGTTGGGTTCTCTGAGGCCTCTCTCCTTGGCTTGTGGGTGATCATCTTCTCCCTGTGTCCTCACAGGGTCTCTCTCTGTTCATGCCAGTGTCCAAATTTCCTCTTCTTATGGGGACACCACCATGTTGGATTAGTACCCACCCTAATGACCTCATTTTTACTTAATTACCTCTTTAAGGACCCT